AATTTGGGGGTAGTCCTCTGCCTTCTTTATTACATCCACTTTGTGCAACGTACCAAGAGCACTGATAGTGAAACAGCCCCAGAGCATGATGCTACCATCACCATGCTTGGCACCACCATGGCTGCAGTGCTGCTGTTTCCAGAGGGCACTGGGCATGTGTATATTTGTCTTATATTTTAAAATAATTAAAAATCACCATGACATTCGTTCCCAGGATGAGTGGATATAAACTTCTAACCACACCTGTTGGCCTGACCGCAGCAGACAGAAAAGTGATGCTCATTTAGTGCCGGTAATAAACTCTGTCTGTAGTTAACTTCTCTGAGAGGTTTGTTTCAACTGCAATGTTAAATGATCAACAAATCTATAAAAATCATGCTTAGGTTACAAAAATTCTGACTCCTTGATTTGTTCATCTAACATCTTAAAGCTGATGCTGACTTAAGTGGTTAATCGTATTCATTTAGCCTGGAACAAAACTGATTAGATGTGGTACTTTATATCAAATTAGTATTAATTTAACATAAAAGCCATGTTAATCTGCCACAACATCAATTTATGTGAAATTAGTTAAATAAAATTAATGAATTAGTTCAGCTAAGGAGGCTGTGTTGCCCTTCTCTCTACCATGAACCACTCCCTCTCCAGTCAGGATCAATATTATGTTAGACTTTGATTATAGACTCAAGTATGTAAACTTGGCTTATTGTTGGTGTTTCTTCTAAAAGCACCTTTCGCCAGCATCAAGATTAACACAACAACAGGTATCTCACTGCTTTCTCCTACCCATCAGCGTTACATCATCGGCAACATCCACTCCTCCTCGTCCACCTCGTTGTTCTCACCTGTTTATGGAGGTTGAGTTTATCCAGCTCTGAGAGCACCCAGCCCACGCTGCCATCTCCTCCGCACACAAGAATACGAAATGTCACAAACTTCTGGAAGAGGCGCAGGCTGAGGAGGAGAGAACGAGAGGCAGGTGTTTACAGAGAGCAACACTTATTAAATGTTCTGCTGGAGAACGACCCGTAGATATCACGAGGACTCAGAAAGAAAAAGCTCTTAAATACCCGAGCTCTGGCCCTCCGTTCATCAAGTCAAAGACCTGCGCTGGGTTCAGAAGCTGCTTGAACTTGCGGAGGAACTTGACCCCCTGGTTGTCCCCGCTTTTAGAGTTGACCAGGACCAAAAGAGGGCTGGAGCAGGACGCCGAGGTGGCCTTCCAGAAGCCTGTAAATGAGCAGAAATGTTTGTATAGCTCACAGCGTGGAGTTCAAATGCCACTGGGACCGTGTTCAAACTGTAAACTGCTGATGATAGATGCACAGATTCCAGGGATAAGGGTTAGTAACTTGGAATTACAAATTGTCAGTGTCAGTAGAAAAAGCCAAGTCGGGCTAAGTCACAGTTTCATTACATGACTGAACTTTAAAACCTACTGTAAAAGTAATACTGTGTGTCCATGTGGGTGGGTGGGAGTAAGAGGTGTCTCACCATCTGAGTCGATGCTGTTAAGTGCAGTTGGAGGGATGATGGACACTCGACACTGGCCCAAGGGACACACCTTCCCCATTTGTTC